TCAGGGTTTACTTGTAACGCCTGTTTTGTGGAAGGGTTTATTAATATACATTCCCATTTAATTTTACGTGTCTCTGTATTTGCTTTTAGACGATACAAATAGTAGTAATTGTTTAGATTCATATCCTGTCCTGTCCAGAAAGGCTCAGAAAAGCTTGCAATAACAGACCAGCAAACCATAAGATAAGAAATTAATAAGCTCCCCGGTTGACATCCTAAAACTTAAAAACTCCACCCCATCCTGTCTAATTTCTCCGATGCTTATTAAGCAGGAGAGTAAACCCTGCGGCTCATCCCAACTGAGAGTCCCAACCCCCTTCATGTTTAGGAACAGAAGATTTGTCTGTCCAAAATCTAGTCTAAGGAAAAAGAGAGTAAATACCAATGCCCTATAACATAAGTCATTAATCAATAAAAGTAAATGTGTTCAGATTAAGAGCAGGGGTTGACAAAGAATGTGTCTCTGTTTTTCTTGTTACTATGGTTTTTCTTCAGATCCTTTTTTAAGCTTTTTGAGAAGATTTTGAGCCTTTGTTATAAAATTTGCATTTGTGTTTAAATACTGATTTCAATTTTGCATTCTCTTGTTGACTTGTAAGACAGGACTGTTGTGGGGGTGGGGCACAATAGGCTGGGGGAGAGGTTGTATGGCTCCTGAGACTGCAACCCACGTGGCATCTGGCCTCTGGTTGCCTAGAAGTTGGACAGCCTTATTGCAAGACATGCCCTAAAACTGTATTTTTAGATACTTCCCCTTCCTCTGATAAGTGTTTCCAGTTGGTCAATTTCAGTGTCAGATGGAGAAATGATGCACATGCTATTCATTGGCCAAACCAGGGGTGTCAAACTCATCTGGCCCTGCAGATTAGGCCCATGGAGCCTCCTCCCCCCCCAACCAGATCCAGGGCACATAACGCTCACTCCGGCTGACTTAGCGTGGCACCTACTCTGTTGTAGACCAGTTATATTTCCATATATATAAAATTGTGTACTTGCATGCACTCTGTCAGCATGTGTATTGACCTAATTGGATGTAGAAGTAGGCCAACATAATTCACTTTTTCAAAGCTCACATTAATGACTGCATAGTATAATCTTATCTGGTTAGTACAATATATATATTACAGATAATATACAATTTGTGATTTATGAAAGTAGAGTGACAGAAATTAGAAGTGTAGAAAATGTTTAGCTAAGCATACTAATAGAGGTGCAGGGGACTGGTAGGAGAATCCAAGGTCATTTCATAGACAGCCACATCAAGTCATCTTGCATAAACTGATTGAGCTCCATTTTTAAACCAGTTAGGTCTCTTATTCACTGCTCCTGTTGGAAAGCTGTTAAAGAACCTCATTCTTCTGAGGTTAAAAACCTTCTGTTTCCAGCCTAAATCTATTCCTGGCTAGTATGTGCCATTGTTTTCTTATGCCAGCGCTGTTCTCCGTGTATGGTATCTGCTCTGCATAAATGTATTGAATGGGTTATCTTGTCCCCTCTCGGCTTGTGTTTTGTTAATGTAAATAAATCAAATTCTTTCAGTTTTCTTTTGTAAGATACAGGCTTTCCAATTCCTGATCATACTTGTCTGTCTTTGCCCTTTTCCCAGTTCTAATCCAAGTAACTCTAGTCATATCAGTAAATTTCTGATCACTTATTTAAAAAAATGCACATGCAGCTGACGGCGATGACAGTTTTGCCTTAAATAATCAAACAAAAGTAGAGGAACGGTATTCACATTTTTAGATGCTTTCAGAAATTTGGCTCAAGTTGAAAAAGAGATGTGAATCTGAACTTAGTACAGCTTCTGTAGAAAAACATAGCACCAAACTAAGTCTTTTATAGCAGTCCATGAACAGTAGTATAATAATAAATAGGCATATAGAGATGTTCAGTCAAGAGAGAATAATAGGAACCTTTCCACAATCCCCATCATATGTTATATCAGTGGCACTACCCTAACCCAGGGTTCCCTGGACCAGAATGAATATTAAAATACTTGCTTAATGATCTTATACAACAGCTTTCTGAGAGGATATGATACAGAAGTCTCTCTGTTTGCTAGCAATGTAGATCCTACAGGTCAACCTGAAAAATCAGAGCTTCCTTTTAAATCTCTCATGTAATGTACTGCAATGCCCAGGAATGTATCATTGTAAAGGCATTTGATTCTATGATTTATTTATTTTTTTTTTTTAGTCCAATTGGAAGCCTTAGAATATTGGTAAAAGTTAGGCCTTTCCATGCAGGAAAGAGCCAGTAGATAATTTGTATTCTGATATAATCACTTGACTGTTTGACAGTACTATATGAGAAGGAAGTCTAATGCTATCTTCAGCAACAGTTGGGACAGGGTTCCAAAACTCTTCCTGCCAAATGTATGCATACACATGCTTTTTACACAGGCACTTAACAGGATTGATAGAAGATTAATTCTAGGTTGTCAACTTATTAAAAATAACACCAAACTTATGAAGCTGTCTCTCTACCAAAGTGGAAATATGTATTCATCTCTGTTACAAAGTACTAGAAAATCAAAACTGAATCCAATTAAAAAAATAACCTGTTACCTTGTATTAGTGATACATGATATGGGTCTCAACTATGCTGACCTCTTCACAGATAGAACGATCTAAAATATAAAAATCTAAAATCTAACCCCCCCCCAAATATAAAAGATTAATCTAAAATATATGGGGGGGGGTGTGTATAAGGTCAAAGATCATAGACCAGTGGGGCCTAACTTTTTGGCATGTATGCCACAAGGTAAGCTCTGTGCTACCCCAAATGTCACTCAGCTCCCTTTCCCCTGCTTGATCTGCTCTGCTTTGTTTCCTGCCTTATCTGCCACTGTGTTCTCTGCTTCCTCCCCAATCTGATGCGTTGTGCACACAGACTGCCCATGCCTCTTGTACCCGTGCTGTGGGGTGACTATTCCTATAGCAGGCCAGTTAACCCCGATTTTTATTAAGCAGATAATTTGCTGTAAATCTCTGAAACAGAATTATCCCATTGGCGGTAGCTTTGTATTTTGTTATAAAGTAATCTAATGGCAGATTCTTATCAATACAGAATTAGCATGGTAGTTTTGATGCAGCATCTGCAGTATTAACAAGAACAGAAATACACTGGAAATTGAAATTACAAAACAGCTTAGAGCAGGGGTGGACAATTATTTCAGCTGGAGGGCTGCTTAATGAGTTCTAGTGAGCTGCGGAGGGCTGCAAGGGTAGCCCCACCTCTTGACAGGTGCCCTACCCCCTGGTTGCCATCTTGGGACCAAAAGTCCTGCCCCTAGCCCCTGACCTTTGCCACCAGAAGTCCATTGCCCCCTGAAGTACTCATTTTGGGAGGGGGGTTGCCATCTTGGAACAAGAAAAAAAAATCATATACCAAAAATCAAACACCTACTATAACATATTTTAATTTTATTATAAAAAATTTTTGTCATGATTTGTATTTGCATAGCATATATAGAGATGATTGCATAATAATTCAAAAATAAAGTCTTACTTTTGTATACTGGGGGTGCAGAGGGGGGGGTTTTGAGGGGGTGTGGCTGTGTGTGCGTGGCATAGGGTATGTCAGGGGGTATATATAGGGGGGTTGTAGGATATGGGGACCTCCCCACTTCCTCTCACCACCACCCCATGGCACACAGGTGCTGCCACCCAGCTACATGCAGCTCCAGCTAGTGCTGCACCTGGTGGCAAGGCTGGCCCATCTCTATCATGTGGAACTCCCCATGGCGCATGTGCAGCTCCCAGCATTCACGTGTCACCAGGGGATGTTCTGCACGCTGGAGCTGACTGCCTTCCCCAATCCCTGTTGTGCAGGTCCCAGGATTCTGCCGGGAAGCAAGAGGCGGTACTGCCCTCCACTTCCAGCACAGTTCTGGGGCCTGGATGACAAGGGGTGGGTAAGGCAACCAGGTGTGTTGTGCTAGGCTTCCCCCAGTGGTGTGCAAGTGCCAGGAACTGCACGTGCAGTACGCAGAGCCCCATGTCATAGAGATGGGCTGACCTGGCTGCACTCCTTGCTACCACATGCAGCGCTGGCTGGAGCCACGTGCTACCGGGCAGCAGCACCTGTGCGGGCCACAAGTGCCTGCTGCTGCTGGTGGTACGGCCTGTGCACTGTGGGGGGAAGGGGGGTCTCCACACCCTCCTGTCCTCCCCCACACCCACACCCTGCCCACCCATGTACCATGTTCCCACCAGACCCACACTTGTCACTCCTGCCCAGCTGCAGCCCCCCCCAGCCACTTCCCTACCTGCGGCCCAGAGTGAATGCTGCAGCAGGGAGATGAGGAGCCGCTGAACACAGGAGAAGCCAAGCAGTGGCAGCAGCGACCCCCACCCAAAAGTTGCGTGGGAAGGGTGGGAGCAAGGTGTGTGGGCTGGGCAGGGTACAATTAGTTGGTGAGCGCCCATGGGCTGTATTTTGCCCACCCCTAGCTTAAAGAGACCCAGGAAAAAAGGAAGTGCAGTATCCTTTTGGGTATGGACAAAATTTGAGTTAAACTGCAACTAGTTCACAAGCAGACACAGGGTTAAGATCATATAGTTGCTCAGAAGTCGCATTTGGACTTGGTTTGCTTGCTTCTTCTATCTAAAACTTGCTTACCTCTCTTGTCCCTTCTACTTAGCCTCAGGGCAGTGGTATGCTTCTTGAAAGCATTGTTGCTTCATGTCAGCCATAGGAAAGAAAAAGAAACTGCACTGCTGGCCACTTTAGCTGCACTAGGAAATTTCCTATGGTCTCTAATTCCACCTCCTGGAAAAGCTTGTTACTATGCTCAGAATACCTGCAAAATGGATGTTTAACTTCCTGTTCCTCATGTCTTTTGCTCTTAAAAAGTATAAATCTGCAGAGAAATGTGATCTGTTTTTACTTGTTTAAAAAGTGAGCTTTGGGAGTAAAGTAATCTCCCCCCACCCTATGCCTTACTATGTACCTCTAAAAAGAGTATTTGTTTTCAATTTTTCAACCTCTTGTTTATAGGAACATCATCTCCAGAGGGCTATCTCAGCACAACAGGTATATGGAGAGAAGAGGGATAATATGGTTATACCAGTCCCAGAAGCAGAAAGTAATATTGCTTACTATGAATCTATATACCCCGGAGAATTTAAGATGCCAAAGCAGCTGATTCACATACAGCGTAAGTATAAAAATCGTATGTGCAAACCTGTCCCTAAAACTGTATTTAACTTAGGGTTAAAGGAATTCATTAAACAACTGTTGAGCTACCATTGAGATTTTCTTTTTGAGAACTAATGCATGTTTAGCATATTAAATGTTAACTTTTATATAAATGCCCTATTAAATTCTTAGTCACGATTCAACTTCTGTTAAAGTTGATTGGAGCATTATCTGAGTTAGGATCATTTGTTAGTGCTAACATGTAGCAATAGTACTTGTTAAAATGCTGACTCGCTCTAAAATTTGGCATCCAGTGAAATGTCTAGCTTTCATTAGCCAGAAGAGCCATGGCCGTAAACCACTTTGCAAGTGGTGATATGTGGATGAAAAATGTGGGAATACTAAAGGTACCAGTCTGACTCGTCAGAGAAAAAGATGATGGCACAGTGGGCTGGGGGTTCAGATGAAAATGAGAGAAATTATTGAATCTTTCCAAATGAATGGGATTTAGTTTCTCTTTTTTTAAGATGTTCCACCTAAAACAGGCAGAAAACAGAGTAGTTTTGCACTTTACAGACTAACTATGTCAGAATCTGTAAGGTGCAACTCCACCCTTCCTTCTGTCTTAACCAGTGGGTCACAAGGCTCACCTTCCCTGCAGAAGAATGCTCTGCACACGTAGTTCTGGCACTGGAAGCAGCAGAGTTCACGTGGTTTTTCACTTTGGGTCAGTTGCCTCATCTGGAAAGTGAAGATGGATTTAGCCTATTCATGAATATGGCTGCGTTTGTTTTCATATTGAAGCTAATGCATCACTTAGAATGAAAATAAGTAAGAGTCCTTAGCTGTTTAGAAAACTATAACTGGTTTTTCTTGGAGTTGACCTCACCAAAATTGTTGCTTGGAGTAACATTTGAAAACGGCTAAATTCTGCTAATGCAGAATCCAGTTCTGTGCTTTAATTATCAGTGTCTTGTATATGGTGGCTTTATTTCATAGGCAACAAAAATGTGCTATAAATGTTGGGGTTGATTTTATAAAATGTTTCTTGTGAGTTCCTGGTACCTTGGTGGCTGCTGTATTTTTTTTTTTTTTTGGTGAAACGTGCCATAGAATATAATATGCACTTGTTCTTCATTCTCCCTTTCACAAAAAAAAAAAAAAAAAAAAGCAGACAAGAAAGGTGTTTTTAGAGTTATGGCTGCACAGAGCAGGGACAGAACCTAATTTTCAGCTGACTCATCCTCCCTTTCCTGGGTAACTGAAGCTGAAACCCTAGCTGCTGTTGAAAACTGGTTTCCATAGAAGAATCTATGATTTTGAAAAGAGCTAAAGAGCCTCCAGTGCTGTAAAATAGGGTATAATCTGAGAGTACCTACCAGGCAGCAATATTGTCCTAAAATGTTAACTTGATTTAGGGAACATCAGGATCATTAAAAAGGAGAGGCAATTATTAACACCTATGAAGTGAGCAGTTAGACATTAAGTCAATTGACTCCCTCAGCTACCTGAATTATAAGGGCACCACTGTTGTACTGGAGTAGTAATTAAAGCAGGGTGCTTTTGTCCTGGGCAGAAAATCAGCTTCTCTGCTTAATACACTAATGCCAGTATTTTTGAGGTGTGGGGGAAGAAGAGGGGGTGGTGGTGTATTTGAGAAAATACAGTGTATATCTCCACATGTCTCCTGATAGTAGAGATCAGCTGAAGTGTTTTGAACAGATAGCCCTGCCCTACCCTGCATTCGGACACATTTTGGAGATTCTTAGTAGATGATCCTCTACTCTTGTTATTAGGTTAAGAACAGACAAATATACCCCTGGGAGGGGAGCTCCTGCTCCGAGCTGAGCAGCAGCTTTTCGCTGTTAAGTTACCTGTTCACAAGCCTGTAGTGATTCAAGTGTAACAGAACCACTCCAGCTTTGCCCGTTTCATTCAGGTTCAAATTTAGGCAGTTTAGCTCATTTGACTCTAGAGCAGTGGTCCTCAACCTTTTTTAGGGATACATACCTTTTACATAACTTTTCTGAATTTGGCATCCTGGTTGAGAACCACTGGTTATTGCCTCAGCCTGCCTTAGTCTTTCTTAACTGGGGTGCTGTGGCTGCCATTTCAGCAGTGCCTGCACTGTGTCATCTTTTGAAAAGATCTTATGGCACCCTGATTTGAGAACCACTGAACTACGAGCTCATGTACTCGTAAAAAATTGAGTATAACAGCTGCTGTGTACAGGCAGACTTATGACACAAGTGGTTTTCAGGAACCAAGTCTTAAATGGAAACGTAACTTGGAACCAGTTTTCCCATAAGAAATAACGTTATATATGTGGGATTGGTTCCTGAACGAAAGCCCAATACCCTGTTTTCACCAAAAATGCCCCAGTATTTTGTACTCGATCAATTATAGATGAGTAATATAACTACATTAATGTGCTTTTATTGTAAATAGCAATCATATTAATTTGGAAGGACTTCTTTGAGGTGACTTTGGACTTTTTGAAAGGCTCTTGACTGGACTTTTTGAAGGGTTCTTGGCTAGAGTCATCTCAGGAGTCTTGGCTGCAGGTTCTTCTGGAGTCTTCTCTGCTTTCTTAAAGAAAAAGTGTCCAAGGAAGTTTGGACAGATGTTCTCCAGAGAGATGAGCGATGCAGTGAACTTGTTCGCTGGCATGGCGTCACATCAGATCAAGCGTTGTAAAGTTGAAACTGATGTTGTAAAGTTGAAACTGGGTGTCAACTTATAAATGTTGTAACTTGAAACGTTGTAAGTCGAGGACTGTCTGTACTCCCAAATAGCAGCCTCCCTCCACTTTTGAAGTCGCTCCAGGTGTACATTTGTCTGTGCCTTAATCTGTTTCATCACCAGAGATCTAGGTTTCCATTCACCACTGAAAAACAAAGTAAAACTCGGATTTTCTCTTTTTAAGGAGAGAACCCAGATTTTTTCTTTTAAAGGAGAAAAATGTGCGTGGGGGAAATCGGGTTTCCCCTTGCAGGCTGGCAGAGTTGCAGCCTGCAAGGGGCTGGGGGGATAGCGGGAAGAAGGTGGTCAGGCAAGGTGCACATGGCCACCAGGCAGCCACGTGGAGGCTTGTGCCACCACTGGGAGCCCTGCACTGCCATGCAGAGGTGCCTCTGCTTGCCCGACAGTAGCAGGGGTCTGCTGCTGCCATACATAAAAACAAAAACCTTCATATACCAAGAAAAATGTGTAAAATGTGAGAAGGGTCTTGGCCTTTGGAAGCCTCAAGCTAATTTGTATTGCATACAATTGTATGAATTAAGATTAATTATAAATTAATCTTGTCATGTGTGTTGCTAAACAGGTGTTTGACATACAACCTTTCTTACATAACATAGGCTTTGATTGAGCCTTTAAGATTCCTGAGCATGCGATGACAGCCTGTGCTTGTTTTGACTGTTCTTTCTTTAGGCTTTCACTCTGTGAAGTGCATCAGGGATTAAAAATAGACAAAGTAATAGATGTCCTGAAATGGTATGATGCTATTATCCTTAAACAGGTTCTCTTTCTCCTCTGGGAGTATGTTAAAAGCTGCTTATTAATTTAGTTTACGTATGAAATTGTTAAGGCTACTTAGCACTGTCAAAACATTTTTGATGTGGCCACTCTTTTCTAACAGTTTGTTACCTTACCTGAATTTTTCATTGGTTAATATAACTGTATACTTTGGGGTCATGTACAGAACTTGTATTTTTGTCACACCCTACTTTTTATGTGTGACAGGAAATAATAAAAATCATGAATATACGGTCAAAATAGTGAAATTAAAGTACCTTAATGCAAGGGAAAAGAGAGAGAAAAACAGGGCTCATTGAGTTTGTAGGTCTTCTAAAACCTTGCTTATAACAAAACTGCAAGATAATGAAGTTTTAACTGAAAACATTTGATAAAACATGCATCAGAAATGATGCTAAGAGGAATGGAAAGCTTAAGAAATAAAGCAAGGAAATTATGGAAGGAATTACATAAGAAGTTCTGGTTTTCTCTTTTGTTAGTGATTTTATAACTCTGTGTGTGTATCAGATTAAAGGATGATGGCAGAAACTACCTTTGTGCTTATTAAAAAAAAAAAAAACTTGGCAAAATCACCTTAAAAAGAAAGAGAAGCTGTTTTCAATTTTGTATTATAGCAGGGATGTCAATTCCTTGGCCTCCTGGGCCACATCTGGACCATAGGGCTCTTTGAGGGCTGGATCAGGACCCACGTCTGCCAGGAGGGCAAGCTATTGCTTGCCCCACTGCCATTAAAATGTGTCCCCAGTGCCCCCTCCAGGAGCTCAGTGGGCTGTATGTTTGACATCCCTGTACTAGAGGATTGCACAGTGTTGTTTCATAACATTTTGAAGTTTTTGTGTAAACATAAGCTAGTTTTCAAATATTACATGTATCTTGAATTAGATGATTGCTAGAATTTACTGCTTTGCACCACTCACATTCTGTTCATCTAGTCTTTTTTATAGCTTTTCTTGAAATACCTCCTAAATATTTGGAATTAAATCCTGGTTCCTTATAGCTGAAATTTCAGTTTTCTTAATAAAAGCAGATTTCACTTCTGGTTTGTTTGTTTTTTTAATTTGTCTAGCTTCAGTATAAAACTATGCCAAGTAAACCAGATAAGTAATTCAACTGCTTACCATTTACTAAGTTTTAATTTCCATGATTGTTTTTACTGTCTATTTGCATTGTGTCACCATACTTCTGTTAGTTGTCTTTATTAATATAATAATTCCAGTGCGTTTCAACTACAGATACTGTATTGTATTTAGGTTTGCTGTTAATCCAAGTAGAATAAGTGAAATGTCTAAATAAATCCTGTTGTCTTGCAACAGGAGCTAGACTTCTCCAGTGGAGCATGTCATTCTCAGACGCACCTGTTTCAGTGAAATTATTCCCATGATATACATGTTAACATACATTGTATTGTTTAGCTTTTAGCTTGGATGCTGAGCAGCCAGATTATGACCTGGATTCAGAAGATGAGGTCTTCGTGAATAAGCTGAAGAAAAGAATGGACATATCTCCTTTGCAGTTTGAGGAGATGATAGACCGGCTAGAAAAAGGCAGTGGTCAGCAGGTAAAATACTATGTCAGATTACAAATTGAAAAGTTTACAAGAGGTAATCAGCATGTGAAAGTGACAGATTGTTTGTTTTAAATTTAGCCAGTCAGCCTGCAAGAGGCCAAGCTGCTGCTGAAGGAAGACGATGAATTGATCAGAGAAGTGTACGAGTACTGGATTAAAAAGAGGAAAAACTGTCGAGGTCCCTCCCTTATCCCAGCAGTGAAACAAGAGAAACGAGATGGCTCCAGCACAAATGATCCTTATGTTGCTTTTAGAAGGCGAACAGAGAAGATGCAGACCCGAAAAGTAAGTAAAAAGGGCACATTCTTATTGTGTGAAGCAATATTTAAGTCTGTTTTAAGTATGGATAGTCAAAGGGGGGGAAAAAACAGTCTGCTACGAACACCAGCACTCACCTAAACTGTGTATAGTCAGACTCCAAAAGCTTGTATTCATGAGTGTCCCAGTCTTTTTTTGTAGTTATAAACTCTAGTGGTAATGAAGTGGTTACACATTTAAAAAGGGAGTTTGTGTAATTTTTCACACGCTTAATGCTTGATTCAGGTTCTCACTTTCATGCATAATGTGCTTTTGATAGCAACTTTAATGTAAATGAAATGAAAAAAATGTATTTACAGAATCGAAAGAATGATGAAGCATCTTACGAAAAAATGCTAAAGCTGCGTCGAGATCTGAGTCGTGCAGTAACTATCCTTGAAATGATAAAGAGAAGGGAGAAGAGCAAGAGAGAGTTACTGCATTTAACACTGGAAATTATGGAAAAGAGGTAAATCTTATCAGTGGGTCATAATATGATCACTTCACAAAACCTTCATATTGAATGTTTTTAATGACCTATATCAAAATCCTTTATGAAGATTTACACACCTAAAACAAATATTCCTAGCCCTTTCACGGTTACTGTACTATAGGAAGGTTTTGTATATGATTAAAGAAAAAGAATAAAGAATTAAATTTGGAATCGAGTAATTTTTACCATAATAAATCTTTCCTTTCCACTTCTAAAATAAAATTGAACAAATAGAATAGAGGTTACAAATTATAGACAAGTTCAGTTGAAAACTTGGAATATTAATCTTGTTAAGGACCTAAATCAAAGAGAACCTCTATTTGTGAACAGTGAATCACAAATTACTTTATCTTTACCATTTCCCTCTCCTTTTTGTCCCTTTGGGACATGTGCTCTAACACTCCCATCATTAAGAATTCCATTGCACAGTTTTCACTTCCTTGATACCGTAGCAATTCAAAAAGGTCCTTTAATTGATCTCTGACAATAATATTGTCTAATACTAATTTTATTTTTTAAGACTGTTTTTGGGAATCAGTTGTATGGGCATGATTCTGATCTTTTAGCACACAAAGTAGAATATCAGGATTACAATTTTGTTTTTGTTTTTTAATTTCTTTATATTGAAGCTTGTAAATATTAAGATGACTTAGACAGTTTTGAAATGTCCACTATCTTTTTCCTGAATTTTAGTGCGTTGGCACAGCTTATTGGAAATGATCTCCTTTCCCTTTCATCATCTTCCTTTTCTCTCAACTCTTCAGAAGCATTTGTAGAGAGTAGTTTTAGTTTATAGGGCTTTATTCTGGGCTGTTCAGAGTCCTGTATAGTAATTTCTCTTCTGGAGTAGTAATTTTAAATTTTCTTATTTTGCCTTCCTAGGATTCTGTACTATCTCAAAGCTTCAAGAAATACTATAAATGTAAACTTACTTGTACTGTATTTTCTACAGAGTAAATGTTGCAAGAGTTCTGTTTCTGGTATTTTAAAAACTAAAATAAAACTATTTACTTTCAGGTATAATTTGGGTGACTACAACGGAGAGATCATGGCTGAAGTCATGGCACAGCGGCAGCCAATGAAACCTACCTATGCTATCCCTATCATTCCCGTTAATAATACCAGTCCATTTAAACATCAAGAGACTATGGAACTGAAGGAATTTAAAGTTAACAAGGTGAGAGAACTAGTTCTAGCCAAGTGGTTCTTACCTTAATCAGGGTAATGCTGTTGTGCATGCAGGCTGCAAAGTGTTTTAGGTTATATTAGCATGAAAGCCATGCTTTATTTTTTACTTTATTTTTCTTTAAAAATGAAAGATATGATGATACATTTTAATGCAAATCTAGAGGAGGAGACTTCCATTAAATTTCTAGTGGGATAATTGCTGTAATTTTGTGGCACTATAGGCAAGAGTACGTCATCATTTTTTTTCAGGCTCTGATTTTCATCTGATATTGGTCAGCTGTTTTTTTTCCTGTTAACTAGTTTAACTGAAAATATTATTAATAAATGCAAATTGCAAAACTTAAAAAACCCTACAGTTTTCAGAATATATACACTCAACTAGCTTCCATTTTCAGTAATTTAAAATTATTTGAACAGTTGTCATGAGAGAATTTACAATTTTCTCTTACAAATTGTTACTGCTATTGTCATTCAGGTAGTGCTTATGGGAATGTGAACTGTACATACAAAACAAAAAGCGCAAATCCTGATGAATTTTTTCAGTTGGCCTGTGAAAGTTTAGTACTCTAGCATTAAATCCAGAGCTTACTGTAATGTCCAAAGATGCCAGTCAGAATCACCTCGCCAGTATTCTAGAATAGATATTGTACAAAGACCAGCTGATTGCCCTCTGATTGATTGACTTTTGGGGACAATACTTTAATTGCAAGACTTTCCTCAGTATAGATAAAAATTTAGCCCTGCACAGCAGGTCATTTTGAATTTCACTTGGTTATCCGAGAAGGAGGGCTAGCTCTGCTAAGATTTTGATCATTTTTTTATGTATGTATGTATTTTTATTTTTTGTTGGAAGGATGCTGTTTGGCATTGTTCCCCTGCTTTGCCTGTGGCAGATTAGGATGTTGGGCCTTGTAGTTTTGTGACAGGGTTGATTGTGTAGTCTTAGTAATAAGTTAGACAAAGATTTTTATGGGATGGTTTGGATAGGGATGATGCTGCCTCGGGCAGGGATTTGCACAAGATGAACTCCAGAGATCCCTTCCAGCCATACTTTTCTTTGGTTCTAAATCCTAGGTATATTAATCCTGGTATTGAAACCTTCTAGTTATTATTCCTCATGTTCTAAAGGCTATTAGTAGGCCTATTACTTGGAGTATTTAGTATCTTTAATTAAAATATGTGCATTTCATGTTGCAGTTGGACACCCAATTAGCATTTTGTTACCTCTAGTTTTGATTTTTGTCATAAAGTATGACTATAATACCCATAGAAGAAAAATTCCCTCAAAAATGCCTGGCAGGGGAATACAAGGCAAAACTAAAATTGTAATATGTAATATATAATGTATGAAAGGCTTTTTTATAATTAGACAAGTCTTCAGAGTTATTCCTGTTGTAATGAACAAACTTGATCAAATATGCAGGTCTCCTGAATGACAGACAATGCATTGCTACTTAGAGTTGCAAGACTTTGTCCATTTATAAATGGCTGTGGATCAAGTCTCCAAGTGTTCTTTATCTGATAAGTAGCACTGTATTGCTGACCAATGTTTGATCACCCTATATCCTGTACCGTATATGCACAATATGCCTATACAACTTCCAAAAAGTAAATAGAGTACTTCTGTTAATGCTGCTTCTTAGTATGTTAAATTATTATTTTTTGGTTGTTTTTACAGATGTAACAATCTGTTTAAATCATGTTCACACAACACTGTCTGTTGGGAATGGAAGTTATTTTAGAAGATTTTAACCTTTTTAAGTAGGCATTTACATTCTGTTATAAGAACTTTGTACAGATGTTCAAAAAACTTCATATCCACAATGACCTTCTAATCCTGCCTCCTGACTCTTAATTATTAGGTTCAGGTGTCCTGTACTTTTGTTTTCTTATTTTCCCTTCCCTCCTCCCCCCCCCCCCCCCCCATGAAGATTTTATTCTTAGCTGATATAATGTCAACTGAGCAAACAGGACTTGATTCCTTCTGATGAAGGAACCAGAACCCTGAAATCTGAAACTTTGATTAATGCTGAGTCCAGAATGGTAGAGAGAGAAGTTCAGTTCAGTTTTTAGCATCTTTGCAGTAGATACTTAAAAAGCTTGTAGTTTAACCAATTTATGTTTATATTAAAGTAGTGTATTAATTCAAGTTTCTGTTATTTTCTTGAAGCAAGAGAAAGCTGATGTTATACGACCCAAAAGGAAGTATGAGAAGAAGCCCAAAGTCTTACCTTCGTCTGCTGCTGCTACTCCTCAACAGACGAGTCCTGCTGCACTGCCAGTCTTTAATGCTAAAGATCTGAATCAGTATGATTTTCCCAGCTCAGATGAAGAACCTCTCTCCCAGGTATGGCCTCTACAGTTTTCTACTGTTTTTAGGAAAAGAACAGATAACCGTCTCCATAAACTTAACAACTTTCTCTGTGTGTGTTTTTTAAAGGTCTTGTCTGGTTCCTCTGAAGCTGAGGAAGAAAATGATCCCGATGGTCCTTTTGCTTTCCGTAGGAAAGCAGGCTGTCAGTACTATGCTGTAAGTGATGCTGTCTTACAAATGTTAAAGATAGAGCATCGTTAGAAGAAATTTTATTTTTAACTATTTTTTTTAATTCTTTTAAGCCTCATTTAGACCAACCTGGCACCTGGCCATGGAGTAGTCCTAAAGAGGGAAGAGTAGGAGATGTGCGCTATAGATACTGCTTAACCACCCTTACTGTACCCCAGAGGTGTATTGGATTTGCACGAAGACGGGTCGGGCGTGGTGGAAGGTAAGCTACAACTGCTGCTTTAAAATGTGTGGAAAACTTCCCCCTCCTTTCCCTCCCCCCAGGACACAAAGGCAGAGGTATATATATAAAAGAATGACTTTTATAAATGCTGTCTTGATATTCATCTGACCTAATATTTCTGGTTTGTTTCACTGTGGACACAGCCTGATATAGTTTACTGTATCAACTAATTAAGAAATACTAAAGTGGACTAAATTTATGGACTTGTTTGTAGTCCTGAAATATGCATAGTTCTACAGTTGCCTAATGTTAATTTTTAGAGCTGAAACTTAAAAGTGGGGGGGAGGACGAAAACAATGTTGCCTAATATGCACTGTCAGAAGTTGTGCATGCAACTTACTGTAAGTCAGGGTTGAAGTGTTCATTTATTGCAGGGTTTTGAAGTGTTTTGCTTTTTCCCTCTAAAGAAGCAAATTTCTAATGCCTTATTTAAATTCATAGTTGCTGGGGCTAGAAGGGACCTTGTAGATCATCAGGTCCAGCCCCCCTGCATTTGGGCAGGAAAGACTGCTAGAATCAGATGACCCCAGTAAGATATGCGTCAAGATGCTTTTTGATTATGTTGATCTTTTTTTTACTTGGCGCTGTCTAAGTTTGCTCGCCTTTTTTTAATTTTAGGGTGCTGCTGGACAGAGCACATTCAGACTACGACAGTACGTTTCGTCAGCTGGATTTGGAAATGATTTCCTCACCACAGCACTCTTCAATCAATCAATTTGCCAATACCTCAGAAACAAATACCTCGGACACATCTTTCTCTAAAGACCTCAGTCAGATACTAGTCAATATCAAATCATGTAGATGGCGGCATTTTAGGCCTCGGACACCATCCCTACATGACAGTGACAATGATGAACTCTCCTGTAGGAAATTATACAGGGGTATAAATCGAACAGGCACAGCACAACCTGGGACCCAGACATGCAGTACCTCTATACAAAGTAAAAGTAGCAGTGGTTCAGCACACTTTGGTATGTTTATTTTGAAAAACTTATTTCTAGAAATTTTGAATTTGGTTTGGAGAATCCAAAACATTAGTTCCTCCGTATTTTTCTTTGTTGTCTATTCTAATAGTAACAGTCAATCTTTTGTTTTCTCTCTCAACCTACTATACTGAAAACTAATCCATTCATATTTTTTTTTTAACTTGGTCAATAGTGTAGTGCATTTCAAGTATGTATACAAAGGCAGCATTTGTTATATCTGATCTTAGAACTTTGTAAAGTCCACTTCTGTACAGGGTTTTTAATTTAATATAAAAGGCTATTTTAAAGACCATTATAATATTGGGATTGCCTAAGGTGAAATAAAATATAAACCTTAAACTCCAATTTTTTCATGCAGTTTACCCCTGGATACTTTTGGGAGGGAAAATAGGTGGTTTTATTTTAATGAACATGTTAAAATTCCCAGAAGGTGCTCAAACTTTTAATATATATTTTTAAGACCTGTTGAGACACTACTCTTCCCCCACAACTAATTGTGTATATTTTCTCATGTTTGGCAAAACCCTAAGAGTTGCGTCATGTTGCAACCCTAATGCTGCATCATGTCAGCAAACTCTAGTTTTATAGGCACATTATAGGAAACACATGACAGAATTAAGGATCTACCACTGGGAATGTGTGACCACCATTTTCAAACTGGAGAACTGCTGGCAAGTACCCAAATTCTTGTAGCTCAACACTGCAGTAAGTAGCACATATTTAAAACTAGCTAGGTAAAATGCATATACGACAACTCCAGCTTTTTTGATTAGTTAACACCTTGAAACACATCTGAAAAAATATCAAAAGCCAAGAATAATTAGACTCATATTCTTCAGATAGCAATAGTTTTTAGAGGTAGTTACTCATTCAGGACCTCCTAGACAGGACATTAATACCCACTTCTATTATAGCTCTCTGGCAAGTGAACAGAACCTCAGCCAGTGTTCCTGAAGACAACAGCTGTAAAGACAAAGTCATGGTTGCCTGATCATTTTCCATTGCAACAAGAGTAGTGTATTTCTGATATCCTTTCTTTTTCTCCCTGACAAACAAGACATTACCCATAATCTCATAAATGGTGTGCAATAAAATTTGATAAAAGAAGCTGTTTAGGAATGATTTCTGTTTAAGAAAAATGAAAATGGTTAAGTAGAGTTAGGGTATGATGTAATTGGCAGGAGGAATAAGTTTCCAGTTGCTGGCAATATAATGAATTTGAGATTACATTTTAATACAACTAAATCAGTTTATTGGGCATCAAAACAGTTTTCAGGCAGTTCTTAAAATTGCTTGCCAAAATAAGTATGAAGAACCCAACTAAATCTTTGTTCTCTTTACCATATTCCAGCATATCTTTAGAAGAACGCACATATGAAAATATATAAAATTCCATTTTCCATATTTTTTAGAAAAACATTATAACCAGTGATTTAAGCTCATACTTTGAAGTGGTGTGAACACTTGATCAAACCAGCAGAATTCTTCTTTGTTGCTGCCTCACATTTCCCTTCTGCTCCCCACCCCCCAGCCCTTCCCCCACGGTACCTGTTTCCTCACCTTCACAACCCTCAAAGAGTAAATGAAAGAATTCTTTTTTCCTCTTCGTATTTTGAAGTACTATGTGATTCTACTTGTATGTTCCCCTGACATTGGGTGCTACATCCTAGACTAGAATGTAGGTTTGAAGTAACTACTGCTTAAGGTTTCTGAGTGTGGTTGCTGATGACTGTATTCCCCTTAGTAGTTTGTCTAGTTGTTGAACCAGATTCAGTGTAAAGAGGAAGAAAAGACAAAAGGGTGATTTCAGAAGAAGCAGCTTGCTAGTGCTGGAAGGAAGAACTTGCTGGGGACACCAGCCAAGTTTCTAAGATAAAGAAAGACAGAAAGAGCCTGTTGGCATGTGGGCTGTAAACAGAATGTAAAATGGTTATGAGATATAGCACCTACCTGCTGGTCACCCTCATTTGAATTAGTTACAAATTTGGAGTTCAAGGTTAACATTTGTACCCATCTGTTCTTTAAAATTATTATGGAGATGATATGACATAAATGTAGGTGATTAAAATAGATCATAAAAAGCAGTCTTTCATATAACTAAGCATGTAATTAAGTGTCTATCAAATGCATTCTTCCGTGGTTGGAAGTATCTTATCATTGTAAAACACTTGTGTAGTAAATGTTCAATACTTAAAAATCATTATGGAATTTAGATTCATATATTTTATTCTGAAGCAAATTATTAATTCTAATACTTAGTGCTGCAAGAATAATGTACCATATCAAGATTTATCGAAGTCTGATTTCACGGATGTGGCTATAGTCAAATTAATTGCCATCCAAGTTTTCATTTAGAGAAGATATTAATGAAATTCTTGGGGTTATGCCTACATGCTTCTTGATAACATTATTGGAAGTTGTGTTGTTATGGGGTGCTTTTGTTTGCTTTTAAACATAAATAAATCCCTGTAGGTGGTATAACAACTTACTCTTGATAAATAGTGTCCTGGAAATTAGGTATTGAAAAGACCTGATGTATAATCCAGTTCATCTTCATGTCAGCATAGGTTTATTTTCTAGTGTTTAAATGTTCCAAAAATGGGAGCTTTTAAAGATGTTTTGTCCAGAGACATTACATTCTTTGGTGTGCATGCACCCCATATGTGAGATATTTGCTTAAATAGTTGGTCCATTAGGACTATATCTGTACCCTGCATGTCCTTTTTTATTCCCACAGCACATGATGTAAACATTAGGATAGGTTCAGTCCTGTTCATTTCTTTCTTGCCACCTGTGGCTGTAAGACGGAAGCTGTTGTTCCTGTTCTTGCACATGTTTTATTTCAAAGTTTAAAGTTTTGGAGTCTCTACAGATGCATATTCTTTTTCTGTTTGCTACTTCAATTTTGAGTGCTGGTAGGTTTTCCTGCAAGTTTGGGGGTCTTTTTTTTTATATGCAAGAGGGTCTCTAGCATCTACTTCCCCTCAACACAACACAAAATGGCAGATCGCAACATTCTGGATCTGCCAATCTTGTGAATCCGCTATGTCAAACAGTGACAGGCATCCTTGCAGCTTTGCTGTGCTTCAGTCAGTGGTATATTCTGGTGTGCTGTTCCATCTGCAAATCTTCTCCAGGAATGCTACAGAACACTAAGGAGGCAATAATTAAGCTTTCCCTCCTAGAACACTTAATGTAAGTCACCTCTGATCCAGCTAGACCATCTTGGAAAACCTTTGCATCAAGTTTATTGTACACAGCCAGCAAATTACAAGTTTTGATGCTAGATTTAAGCTTCTCTGCTGTTCTGTCACCTGTGGCTGTGATGTTTCCAGATATGTGCTACAAAGATCATTATTTCAGGCAGTAGATTTTCTAGTACCAGCAGCTTGCCCTCCTTTCCCCCGTGAGCAGCGACAGGAGCCTCTTGCCAAAGATCCAAACATTTAAGGGTGTCACTGTCTTCCATCAGGCATCCTAGTGTTAGAACCAGTCCCAAAGATCACTTCTGAAAATAATTACCATACTGCTCCTGCCACTGTCACTTACACCACTGCTCTACTGAGATCTCCTGCACTGACTGTTCTGATAGTGCTAGAACCAAACTTGGATCTCCCTGAAAAAGTCTGGGAAAGCCAGGATTTTCTTTGGTACTGGCAATAATGCATAAAATACTGGAAAGAGCAGTTTTCCTGCTGGAGCAGAACTATTCCTTACAGCCTTTAGCAGAGATAAAGCATAATAATAATGATGATGATAATCTTGCAGCCAGCATTCCACCTCAGTCCTTTGGATGGTATAGTAGGAAACAGATTGGAAGTACAAGCAGGAACGCCTCAATCTTCACGCATCTTTGGTGACAGGACACCTCATATACCCTCCCTTTACATATCATTTGACTATTGACCCTTTCAGAAAATAGACATTTCCCTTTGATGAGGGATCTGCTTCTTCTGGAGTGGTTATTGAAGTGTCTATATCAGACCCAAAATTCCTTCTTCAAGGAAGTGCTTCTTAGCACCACAGCCCTGCATGGCTGAGGAGGAGAGGAGGAATATAATAGAGTTGCACATTCACCTGAAACACTTAATTTTGCAGCTGTAATGGCTTTCTTGCTAGATAAGGTGATCGTCCTGTCAACATCTGTCTTGCTGGTTTGCTTAATGTGGTCTTCAGGCTTCTGGGTTGCAATGTGTAAGACTGTGGACTTCAGATAGCATACATTGGTAAACATCCTACATTGAGATGTCTGATAGCAATTAAGGAAGACGTGCTTAAGCCAACAAAAAAAACATGGTATATACTAACTTCTATTATAGTGATAACAAAAAGGCACAGAGCAGTACTAGGTACATAAGGGATGCAAGTACTTGTATTAGTATCCCTCCCTTACTATTCCTAGTTCAAGCCATCTAATTAGCAGGGCCAAAACAAGTCAAATATCTGAAAGAAGGACCTCAAAAAGCTGTACCTTTGCAATCCTTCTTGTTATACCTTCAGATAAGAGAAGTAACTATCCAGTGCTATTTGTTAAATAGACATTTCTTTGGAAAAGGTGCTCTCACTTTTTGAAAAGGGTAAAAGAACTGAGGTCTTATGGCAAAGAGCCAAATAACAGCTAAAACACCACTTCGGGATGCTCTTGATCTGTTTGGATACAAGTTAGAACTGTGGCAGTCTACAACTATGAAGATCTTCCTGCCTGTGAGTATTTGAAACTTTATGTAAGGTCCAGGTGACCATTGAGGATTTTGCCTTTGAAGATGATGACCTGTTTCTAAGCATCATACATGCTACTAGTATGTAAGGCTCCTTAAAAAGTCTCAAAGATTGCACTGAAGTTGTTGAACTGTCATGGCTCTTAAAAGGAGGTTCCTCAAACTTTGCCCACAAGTGATCAGACAAGCAGTAGCTCCGTGTTGCTTAATTGCCATCCTTGGAACCTACTAGGCAAAAAGAACACTCCTACTTCTTGACCTCCCCTC